TCTGAGATTAGAAACAAAATTCTCCTGAGTTTTCTTCTGGTACTTTCACAGTGTCATTTTTCGCACTAAATCTCCGATCTATGTAGGAACTTGATTTAAGGTAAATAAATTTTAATTACAAATGAAAACTGTTATATAATTTACTCAAATTAATAGTTTATTTTCATTTCAAAATTACTTAAAGCTAATTCTTAGTTCACAGGAAGGTCAGCTTATTAAAGAATGGATACAATTTTTCATTTCTCCCTTACTGATAACGATATTCATTAAACTTCCAGTGTTCTCTAATAATTTTATTATTTATTTATTTATTTATTTTGGCTGCATTGGGTCTTTGTTGCTGTGCACGGGCTTTCTCTAGTTGTGGCGAGCGGGGTCTATTCTTCATTGTGGTGCATGGGCTTATCACTGTGGTGGCTTCTCTTGTTGTGGACAGAGCATGGGCTCTAGGCAAGCAGGCTTCAGTAGTTGCAGCACACGGGCTCAGCAGTTGTGGCACACGGGCTCAGTAGTTGTGGCTCACGGGCTCAGTTGCTCCGCGGCATGTGGGATCTTCCTGGACCACGGCTCAAACCCATGTCCCGTGCATTGGCAGGTGGATTCTTACCCACTGCACCACCAGGGAAGTCCCTCTAATAACTTTAAATGAAAGACAATTCAACGACAAAACTTTGCTTTTTTGAAAAAAACTTTATAAGCCTAGAATTACGTAATAAGAGAAGAGTAAAGATTTAATCATTACTTTTACATACATGAAACACAGCTCTTTTTTAGAACTATGGCCTCACACAATTGAAAAAAGGAAGTACAGTGTATTTAACACCAGTTATTGTGATAAGCACTTTACAGTTGACCTTTGTATACATGGATTTTTTTTCAATAAATATATTGAAAATATTTTGGGGGAGATTTATGACAATTTGAAAAAACTCACAGATGAACTGGGTAGCCTAGAATTAGTGAAGAAATTAAGAACAAAGTATGTCATGGGTATATAAAATATACGTAGATACTAGTCTATTTTATCATTTACTACCATAAAATATACACAAATCTATTATAAAAAGTTAAAATTTATCAAAACTTACATGAATAAACACTGTACCTGCTCCATTTACAGTCGAGAGAAATGTAAACGAAGATGCAGTATTAAATCATAACTGCATAAAATTAACTGTGGTACATACTGTACACTACTGTAATAATTTCATAGCCACCTCCTGTTGCTACTGCGCTGAACTCAAGTGTTGCAAGTATCCGCTTAAAAGGCCGTGTGATGCTAATCTTCTCCTTGTGAGCAGTTCCTCTCTCCAGTAAATTACATATCACAGTAAAAAGTGATCTCTTTTTACTTAAAGTGATGTTGCATATTTTTCTTTGTGTTTACTACAATATGGTAAACTTTAAATAACACCATGGGACCTATACAAAGTGCCACTATTGATGCTGCAAGTGCCCCCAAGAAGCAAAGAAAAGGCATGACATTACAAGAAAAAGTTGAATTGCTTGATATGTACTGTAGATTTAGGTCTGCAGCTGCAGTTGCGGCCATTTCAAGATAAATGAATCCAGTGTAAGGGGTATTTTAAAAAAAAAGAAGAAAAGGAAATCCCTGAAGCTCTTGTTGCAGCTACACCAACAGGTGTGAAACCTTGAACTTTTTGCAAAATACCTTTTTATCTCATATTGAAAATGCAGCTTTTATATGGATGCAGGATATAAGAAAAGTATTCCTGTAGACTTTAATATAATTCAAGAAAAAGCAAGGTCATTCTATGAAAACTTAAAGCAAAAGGAGGATGAAAAATCTAAACCTGTAGAAATTAATGCCAGCAAATAATTTTAGATAGAGGTATGTGCATAGGCTAGGGAGGATGAATTACAAGGATAAATATGGAGCTGGATCATATTACCAGGAACATAGGAGTGAATTCCTGCCCCAACCAAAAGGCATTCATGTGGATTTTTTTTTTATTCAAGTTAACTGGCTATTCCAAAGTGTTTTTTTTTCCTATTTTTGACGATTGGAGCCCTTCAGATGCAGGATGGAACTGTGTTTTGCATTTTTTGGTAAAATAAGCAAAGCAAGGACCTGGAGATATATGCTGGAGCAATATCCTTGGAAGGATTCAGCATAAGTAAATGGTAAACATTTAAAGGGGAAAGGGAGGGTTTGTTTGTTTTTAAACATTTATTATTTATTTATTTTATTTTTAGTTGCGTCCGGGTCTTAGCTGCGGCACGCGGGATCTTCGCTGAGGCATGCGGGACCTTTTGTTGCGGCACGGGGGCTCTTCGTTGCAGCGCACGGACTTCTCTCTAGTTGCAGCATGCGGGTTTTTCTCTCTCTAGCTGTGGCACATAGGCTCCAGGGCTCATGGGCTCTGTAGTTGTGGCGTGCAGGTTCCAGAGCGCATGCGTTCTGTAGTTTGCGGCATGCAGGCTCTCTAGCTGAGGCACACGAGCTCTGGCAGGGGCTTAGTGGCCACGGCATGTGGGATCTTAGTTCCCTGACCAGGTATCAAACCCGTGTCCCCTGAACCGTAAGGCAGATTCTTTACCACTGGACCACCAGGGAAGTGCTGGGGTTTGTTTAAAATAGTACATCAGTAAGTCACTTCTAAATTTAAAGAAAACAAAATTGGAGTTGAAGAATAAGTAGGTTTCCAGTTGGCTATTGCTATTTTTCTTTGAAAAAAATAAACATTTTTTTAAAAATTAAAAAAAAAAAATGTCAAGGTAACAGGAGAAGCACCATCTGCTGACCAAGAGGCAGCAAACAAATTCCCAGACACAATTAAGAAAACCATTGATGAGAAAGGGTATCTGCCTGAACAGGTTTTTAATGCAGACAATAGTGCCCTATTCACATTTATTAGTAAAGAAGAGAAATGAGCACCAGGATTTAAGGCTGGAAGGGATAACCTAACTCTACTGTTTTGGGCAAATGCAGTTGGGTTTACGATCAGGACTGCCTTTATCTATAAAGCTGCTAACTCCCGAGTCTTGAAGGGAGAAGATAAACACCAGCTGCCAATCTTTTGGTTGTACAAGCAAGCCTGGACAAAGAGAACTCTTTTTCTGGATTGGTTCCATCTATGCTTCATCCTTGAAGTGAGGAAGCACCTTTCCAGTAAGAGACCCACTTTTAAAGTTCTTTTGATATTGGACAATGCCCCTGGCCACTGAGAACTCGATGAGTTCAATACCAAAGATGTCGAAGTGGTCAACTTGTCCCCAAACATAACAACTCTAATTCAGCCTCTAGATCAGAGGTTCATAAGGACTTTTAAGCCTCATTACAGACAGGACACTATGGAAAGGATTGTCAACACTATGGAAGAGAGCCCCAACAGAGAGAACATCATGAATGTCTGGAAGGGTTACACCATTTCTCTCCATTATTGTTAGAAAAAGCCATGAAAGCCACCAAGCCCAAAACAATAAATTCCTGCTGGTGAAAACTGTCTACATGTCATGCATGACTTTACAGGGTTTACAACAGAGCCGATGAAAGAGATCATGGATATGGCAAAAAAAAAAAAAAGGGAGAAAACTGTGTCCCGATGCTGTGGGTGACTTCACAGGATTTATGACAGAGCCAATTAAGTAAATCACAAAAGAGATTGTAGATATGGCAAAAAAAAAAAAAAGGTGGGGCATGAAGGGCCTCAAGATATCAATCTTGGAGAAATGCAAGAGCTAACAGACATAACACCAGAGGCACTGACAGAAGACGAAACATCCAGAAGATGGATATGAGTGCTTCCGAACTAGTGTCAGGCAATGAGAAAGAAGATGCAGAAGAAGCAGTGCCAGAAAACAAACTGACCCTATAGACAATCTGGCAGAAATGTTCCGATTACTCAAAACTGCTTTTGACTGCTTTTACCACATGGACCTGTCTATGATATGGGGCACAGAGACTAGAGCAAACGGTGGAAGAAGGATTGGTACCATACAGAAACACTTGTAGAGAAATGAAAAAGCAAAAGAGTCAAGCAGAAGTTATGATGTATTTTCATAAAGTTACACCAAGTGTGCCTGTCTCTCCTGCCTTGCATCTCCTCCACCTCTTGCACGTCTGCCACCCCTGAGACAGCAAGTCCAACCCCTCCTCTTCCTCGTCCGCCTCAGCCTGCTCAACATGAAGATGACAAAGATGAAGACCTTTATGAGAATCCACTTCCATTTAATGAATAGTAAACAATCATCATTCTGTACAGTTAATAAACTATTATGTATGTGTGGCGGTGTCTTCGTGTGAAAATCTAATAACTGTACAGCAAGAACTGTATGAGACATTTTTGCCATAATTACCACTTAAAGTATTCACTGTGTAGACTATCGTGTGCAAGACTTGTACTGAAATGGCCAGCATATCCTTACATAGGTATAAGGTGAGTGATATTTAATAAAAAATTAATAATGTGTTCATTTTCTTACAGTTTTACACCTTTGCGTTCAAAGAACTATATTACTATACAGCATGCCCCTCTCTCGTAATTGGAGAAGCTGCATACCAGCCAATCATCACAGGTAAGAGTTTTTTCCCTAATATAACAATGTTTCCATTACTGTATTATGAATATGACTGTAATTTGTGTATTCCATAAAAATTTTATAACAATTCATTCACTAGTGTATAGGCTAGGCTACCATGAAACAATCATACTGCTGCTTCTTTGTTATCAATGCATGAATCATTATACCTGTAATAAATATGAATTTCTTTTTCATATTATCTTTTTATTCTTGATGTCTAGTGTTAGTAATATGTATAACATCTACAGTGTTTTCTATCATATAAGACAATATTGATGTAGGTTGAGAGAATTCATCTTGTATTCAGGCAACATAAAATTCTGGTTGTGATACATATAGTACAGTACTGTAAATCTTTTATGATTTTCTTAATAACATTTTCTTCTCTCTAGCTTACTTTATTGTAAGAATACAGTGTATAATACACAATACAAAACATGCGTGCTGTTTATGTTATTGGTAAGGCTTCCTATCAACAGTAGGCTATTATAGTAGTTAAGTTTGCGGGGAGTCAAAAGTTATACACGGATTTTCAAATGCACAGAGGTTGCTGCCCCTAACCCCTGTATTGTTCAAGGGTCAACTGTATACACTTCCTTTCGGTGAAAACTCACAGTAGTCCAGTTAGATAGGTAGTATTTCCCCCATTTTATAGAGGAGGCAAATAAGGATCAGATGCTTTCATTTACTTAAAGTTACATACTTAACAGTAAAGCTAGATATAAACTAACACTTTTCTGACACCAAAGGCCAAACTCTTAGCCAATATATTGTACAGTTATCCCTCAGTATCCATGGGAGACTGGTTCCAGGACCCCCTGCAGATACCAAAATACGAGGATGCTCAAGTCCCCTATATAAAACAGCGTAGCACAGTCAGCCCTACATATCCATGGATTCCACATCTGTGGATTCAACCAACTGGAGAGAAATTGTTGCCTGAATCTGTGGATGTGGAACCAGCAGATATGGAAGGCTGACTGTACCTCCTTCATCTCATTTAGTGAACAGATCATATACTTAATTTAGGAATGTAGACTCTTCACATTTAAAAAGACAAAAATGACTATGAGCAGTTTTTTTAAATAGAAAGCAAACATTTCAAATATTCTTACCCACAAAGAAAACTATGAAACAAATAAAGTAAATATAGGTTTAAAAAGCAGATTTATGCTACGGTTTTGAATGAAACCAAGAGACATTCCTACCCCAGTAGGAAGTGGCAAAAGGAATAAGTCTGTCAAAACTTTAAAATTAAGTCATAGACAATTTGCCAGCATTCCCAAGCTAACTCTTCCCTAATAACTCTTCCCTAATCCACCAATATTATTTTCCAATTATTATTAAATTCTCTTGAAACATGAAGACTGCATATGTTTGACTTCCCAATGGACACTGAGCACCTTGAGGCTAGGAATTTTATTTTATTCCTCTTTCTAGAGCTCCCATTACCTAGAACACAGCAGTTTTTAATACTAATATAGCTAAAAATATTTGAAGTGCTTTACCAATTACAAAGGATTTTGATACACATCAACTCAGTAATGGGTCTTCAACAAATGCTTGCTGAAAGCATTTTTTTAAATGTCATGTGAATTTCCTTAGACATAACAAAATATAAGTTGCATTACCAAGTATGAATGACTTCCTTCAGTAGCTCAAACAATTAAAAGTAAATTTATATCAGGACTAATTTTTGTAAGTATTAGGAAATGATATTTTTAAAGTTACTGTTATATATAAATAGTAAAGACAGCCTACATGATATTATTCACTTACCTTACTCTGCCTTTTAAAAGCATTCACTTAATACTAAGTTCTTCCAATACCATATTTACAACTCATGAAAATAAATAATATACTGCTTCCTGAGATTTCTCGCACAGATATTTAACTTTTTATGCTTGTTCTACTTCCTCAGATTATAATCTAGTGATATATATGTTACATTCAGCGTTCTCAAAAGCACTTAACATGGTATTATATGCCTAGTAGCCACCTCAGTAAATATTTTGTGAATCATCTTAAATTAGTACTAGTGAAACTGCTATTAAATACCTCTAAGGCATACAAATTCAGATTACTGACCCTAAATTTAACATTGGAAACTGACAGGAATTGATTGGAAAATATGACTCGTCATGAACAGTTTGTATTTATAGACCAAACGTGTTAAGTATTCTAAAGAAGATATTCTCATATTACCTGACTTCACTTACCTGATCAAAAAGAAGCCTAAGTTGCCGCTCAGATTCGCCAACCCACTTACTTAGACAGTCTGCTCCTTTTCGCATAAAAAAAGCCACCTTTTTGTCTCCTTGACTGCACTCATTAGCTAATGCTCTGGCAACCAAGGTTTTACCTGTGCCAGGAGGGCCATAAAACAAACAGCCCCTAGAGGAATAAAGAATCAATAAAAGTAGATAAATGTTACCACCAGCACTAATAACCAATACAAAAGCATGCACCTCCCATATAATTTTGTACTAATGTATATTTTATTATTATCAGACACTGATATAGCTTTTTGTAATATACTGACAAAAGTTTCACTTTGTTGAGAGTCCTCAAGGATGTTCTCAAAGAACCAAGCTTTGGTACACAAGAAATAATTCAATCAGAGTAGAGAGTAATTTGGCAAGCAACATCAAAATTTTAAAGGTACTTTCCCTATGACCCAGAAATTTCACATTTTAGATTATATCATGTAGAAATAATCAAAAGAAAGTGATAAAGATAGATTTTTTTAAAAACCTTAATGCTATCTACTAACAAGGGACAGATAAATACATCACTACATCTATAATTTAAACACTAGTATGATGTCAAAAAGAATAATACACACATTATTTATTGATATGGAAAGGTGTCTATAATACATTGTAAAGTGAAAAATAAAGTTACATAAGGGTATTACTGAATAATCTCATTTATATTAAATGTTTGAATGTGCATAATACAGGCAAAATATAAACTTAATATATGCATACATATATAAAAGAAAGCTGTTCATCCCTAAGGAGTAGGATTACTTTCTGCTTATAATACTTTTTGTTTATAACTCCACTTTTTAAAGTTTCTCCCAAGGCTATACTACTTTAATGGCTTTGAAAAAAATAACAATTATTTTTTAAATTCAAGTTGTATCATATAAGAAGAAAATAAATTGCTACTATGATTTCCAAAAGCCACTGCAGAATTACAGGCCAACTCTTAACCCACTCAAATAGAAGATGACTCTTTAACAAGATTTTCTGCATCCTTAAACACATAAATAATAAATTAGAAACACATGAATAATAAATTAGGAATAAAAAGGGATATTTCACAGTTTAAGTCTGTATGCACATCTTCAAAATATTTTATTCTGCCCAATTTCCTTTGACATAATTTCTCAGCCTTTCCTAATAGTTAACTAGCTAACCACCTCATGATCAAACACAATTAATCTGATCATAAAAATAAACTAACAAGCTTACCATTTCAAAAATACCACATCAATGAGTCAAAGAAACACTTTGCTGAAACTGTGCTTTCAAAGACTAACCAGTATACCATATCAAACTGAATGCTATTAGGAGACCAAATTAAGGAAAATCCACTTAGGCAACCCACTTTTAAATTCAAGGCCTGTGTAAAGAATCTCATCCTGTGTCTGACTCTTAAATGCTGAAATATAAACTTCAAGAACACACTTAGTACCACAGCTTTTGAGCCCTAAATAATAAAATTTCATTCCTAATTCTCATTGCTAGAACACATCAAATAAATACATATGAAATATTTATAAATAATATTTAGATTTATAATCACCTACTAATTGAAATTTGATAAATTAACAGTAATAAAAAAATAAACATCTAGGACATTACTCACCTTGGAGGCTGAATTTTAAATTTTTCAAAAATTTCTGGATATAAAAGTGGGAATACTACCATTTCCTTTAGTGCATGAATATGACGGCTCAATCCACCTATGCTATCAAATCGCACCTTGGAAAGAAGTGGAAAAGTTTATTACAAAATAATTTTGACCGTTTATAGATTTCTTTTTAATTTATGGAATAGTCTTATGATTCCAAAATATATGCCTTCAGCAGGAACTGAAGTTTAAACATAAAGTTCATATATAAAGTTAAACAGAGTTCAAAAAACTATACTTTGGGGAATTCCCTGCAGGTCCAGTGGTTAGGACTCTGCGCTTCCACTGAAGGGGGCACGGGTTCAATCCCTGGTTGGGGAACTAAGATCTCGCATGCCGCACGACAAAAGAACAACAACAAAAAAAAACCCCGCTAACAATGGTGATCTTCTACTTTTATTGTGTGTTGTGTTAGAAACAAGTAATGACCTTTAAAAAAAAAAAACTATAGAAAAACATTTACAAAACTTACTGATTTATCAATGTTCATTGGATCAACATCAGCCAAGCTTGCACCCACTTTTACACGTTCTCGGAGAATACCACTAGCTAAATCTTCTGCTCTTAAGTTCATAGGCAAACATCTGAAATTCATAAACATTCAAGTAGATAGCATTAAAGTTTCATATCCTTAATGTCATAAGCAAGTTTAAATCTTTGTTGACACATTTTCATCTTCCTCCCTTTTCTCATAACCCATAAAATGACAAGAGATTTCATATTTTTAAACTACTTTTCCTAAATTCTTTTCAACAGGCCAGAAATAAATTTACTCACTAGAGAAAGCAAATAAGATCATGAATCTCTTTGCCCAAAAAGCCCAATCTAGTCTAAATTAGAAAACTTAACAAACCTGATATTCCACATTATATAAGCATAAAATAAAAAGACCTACTATAAATACTATAATATATGGCATTAAATGAACTCAAGCTTTATTATAACATTTAAATTTATCCTCAGATATTATGTGGGTATGTCTACTCAGTTTACATGATTGAAGAAATAAATTTCCCTCCGTTTTATTCAAGGGAAACCAATTTTAGACCCTATTTTGAAAACTAAGCATTATCGTTTGTGTAACTACCTTAAAATACATTTTTAGCTACTTAAAATCCTATACGATATTAATGTAATTACCCCTAAGAAAATATAATCTACTTCCTCTTTTAGCATTGCGTAAACACCAAAAGATGACATAAATAGCCTAAAAAAAGTATAGCTTCTACAATGAATGTACTTTCACTGACATTTCTGAATGCTAACTTACTTTAAAAATCTATTTCCAAAGCAGGTAACAGAATACTTCAGATTAAAGAGGCATTAAATTCTTTTATTTAAACTTAGATTTTTCTCTTACATTTTCTTTCCATCATCCACATGTGGAACTCTTTTTAGCTTACAATCTACACAAACCCAAACTTGTTTCCAAGACCAGCTAACTGAAAACTTGGTATTTCTACAATAGATATATAATGCCAAATTATAGAAATGCTTTCCTAAACGTAAAATTTCTAAATAAAATGTACCTTTAGTATTATAAATATAAGCTAGAAAATTAACTTAAATTTAAAAAATAAATTATAATTTGATGCTTTAATAACTTACTAGACAAAATACTGATTCTCTCACCCACTGAAAATTCTCAAGATTTTAGTGAGCCATGTAGCAATGAGTCATTCACTCTAGTTAAGTAAAGATCACCAGAGCTAAAACAAGTTTTCCAACAAAACCCAAGGGCTCCTGAAATAATTCTATTAAAAACCAAATCTTACTCTTGAGTGCTATAATCATTATAAGCATCTAAAATCAACCTCATTAAATGGATTTGGATTAGAGGAGAGGTACTGAAAAAGACTGTCCAAGAGGTTGGCCTCTTCCCCTGGCTCTTTCTTTACCTTCCCACACACTATTTTATTGAGTACTTACAAAGCAAGTAATTTATGGGAAGTTTCCCAAGGTTAGATTTCTACTCTAAAATTTACTAAGTAAATACCAAGTCAGTGTATTACTCTAGACTAAAATATGTGTTAAGTGTCACTGTTAGCAAAATGCTAGTAGAGGTAAGAATCACATTCAAAAAGTTTAAACTGTTATTCCTTTTTTCTATCATGGAAATAACAATTAAAACTTTACTAACCTATTTCTTGCTCTTGCCATGCTCTTTGATTTCCTTCTTTCAAAGCGTTCTTCATCAGAAGAAGTTGTGTCACTACTATGAATAGCATGCTTCTTTCTCCTATTTAAAGAGAGTAAAATCCTTAAAATCATTACAGCAGAAAAGGGCTTTTAAAAACACATTCTGAGCATCATATCTACTATTAGCTCAGTAGAAAATATATAGTCACTCATTCATTTGGCAAATATTTATTAAGATCCCTATACTCATGCAATTTACATCTGATGAAGTAAAACCATGGTAAGTTCTACAGATAAAAAAGAAAAACAGGAGGAGGAGGAGAGGGAGGCTATAATTTTTTAAATAGGGTAGTTCATAAAGGCATCAAGCAACAAATTGAATTTGCATCCAAATTTAGGGAAGTCTATCACTGATTGATAAATAACATCAAACTCTTATTAGAAGAGAAAGTTTATCTTTTTCTCTTCTTACTTCCCCTTTCCCAAATAATCAGAAAACAGTCCAGACACTAAAGAAAATAATATATTGGTTTACAGAGAGACAAGGGTTTACGCTTTCCACTTAAGACTTATATCCTGAAAAAAAAAAAAAAAAGACATATCTTGTTTGAATTTCTTATAAAATGTATAAAGTATTTTTGATGACATAAGCAAAGAAATAGTTTACAATCAGAACTACTATGGAGGGCCTCCCTGGTGGTGCACTGGTTGAGAGTCCACCTGCTGATGCAGGGGAAACAGGTTCGTGCCCCCGTCTGAGAAGATCCCACATGCCGCGGAGCAGCTGGGCCTGTGAGCCATGGCCACTGAGCCTGCGCATCCAGAACCTGTGCTCCGCAACGGGAGAGGCCACAACAGTGAGAGGCCTGCGTACCGCCAAAAAAAAAAAAAAAAACTACTATGGAATGAGTAGATAATGTACCAAGCTAAAATCATCCTTGAGGAAAAATAACACTTAATAAATGCTTCATTATTAATATACTTGATGACATCTATATGATACCTATGGAAATCATACAAAATGGAATCATTGTAAATTAATTTACTTCAAACTCAAACTGGCATTCAAGGACGGTCCACAGCCTGTGCATCCCTATTTTACTGCAATTCCCACCAACCACAATAGCAAAGCCAGATTTTCCCCAACTCTCATTAAGATCTTTAACCTGTCTAATATTCCTTCTCCTGATTAATAGAAGGCCCTTCATTTCATCCTGCATCAGTTTTTAATGTCTCCCAAAACTTCAGGAAGACTGTTGCAATAACTACCTACTCAATCTTTGCAATTTTGATATATACCCTCTCTCCTACTTCTTTCTCTCCATCAGGAAAATGCCTGTTTCCAAGTTTCTTATTTACCCTGTGTGTGTGTCTGTATGTGTGTGTGTCTGTGTGTGTGTGGTGAGCCTAATATATAAAAATGTAATATATCTGAAAATAGCACAAATGAGGTAGGCAGAAGCAACAGTGTAAGTACTGGGTTAAAGAAATGATTCCAGATGATAACTCAAATGCACAAGAACAAATGAAGAGAACCAGAATATTAAAATAAAAGGTTACTATCCAAAAGCTATAAGCATGCACTTGATTGACTTTCTTCTCTCAGCTTTTTTAAATAACAGGGAATTATATAAGTAACTTTAATAATGTATTGCTAGGTTTATAAAATGTGTAAACAATACCACAAAAAGCTGAGTGGACCTTAAAAGGGAAGGGGCCACACCATATACAAAAGTAAGTCAAAATGAATCAAAGACCTAAACACAGAGCTAAAACTATAAACTCTTAGGAAAAAACACAGAAGTAAATCTTCATGACGGTAGATATGGCAATGGATTCTTAGATATGACATGAAAAACACGAACAACAACAAAAAAGATAAACTGAACCTCATCAAAATTAAAGTCTTTTGTGCTTCAAAGAATACCATCAAGAAAGTAACAACTCACAAAATAGGATACAATATTTGCAAATCATATATCTGATAAGGAATTTGAATCTAGAATATATAAAGAGCTCTTACAAGTCAATGATAAAAAGACAACACAGGGCTTCCCTGGTGGCGCAGTGGTTGGGAGTCCGCCTGCCGATGCAGGGGACACGGGTTTGTGCCCCATTCCAGGAGGGTCCCACATGCCGCGGAGCGGCTGGGCCTGTGAGCCATGGCTGCTAAGCCTGTGCGTCTGGAGCCTGTGCTCCGCAGCGGGAGAGGCCACGACAGTGAGAGGCCCACATACCGCAAAAAAAAAAAAAAAAAAAAAACCACAACACAATTTTTACATAGGCACTGGACACAAAGAGTTCTCAAAGGAAACTTTTAAAATGGCTAATAAGCACATGAAAAGATGCCTCATATCATTAGTAATCAGGGAAGCGCTATTCAAAAACCACAATGAGATACATTTCATACTCGTTAGGACAGCTAGAATCAGAAAGTCAGACAATATTAAGCGCTGGGGAGGATGTGAAAAACTGGAAGTCCCATACAGTGCTGGAGAGAATGTAAAATGGTGTAGTCACTTTGGAAAACATTCAAGCAGTTCTTAAATGATTAAGCATAAAGTAATCACATGACCCAATAATTCTACCCTGAGGTATATTGTCAAAAGAAATACAAAAATATATCCGGGAATTCCCTGGCAGTAGAGTGGTTAAGACTCCATGCTTTCACTGCCAAGGATTCAGGCAGGTTCAATCCCTGGTTGGGGAACTAAGATCCCACAAGCCACAAAGCGTGGCCAAAAAAAAACAAAACACATATATCCACATAAACACTTGTACATGAATTTTTACAGCACCATTATTCATAAAAGCCAAAAGCTGGAAACAACTCAAATGACCATCAGCCAATGAGAAGATGGACAAAATGTGACATATTCCTACCTTGGAACATTATTTGACAATAAAAAGGAAGGAAGTACTGATAAATGCTTCAACCTGTATGAACCTAGAAAACATGTAAACTGAAAGAAGCCAGTCACAAAGACCACATATTACATTCTCATTTTTACAAAATGCCCAGAATAGGCAAACCTATGAGGAAAGAAAGCAGATTACTGGTTGCTTAGGACTTAAAGCATAGGGGTAGTGGTAGGAAGGTTAGAGTTAAAGAGAACAGGTTTCTTGCTAAGCAGATGAAACAGTATTTAAAACTGTCTGTGGCAACAGTTCCAGTTATCTGTGAATATACCCAAAAAAAAGCTGAATTATATGATGTGGATCTTAATAAAGCTTTTTTTGAAAAAAATCTAAGTGAGGGCTTCCCTAGTGGCGCAGTCGTTGAGAGTCCGCCTGCTGATGCAGGGGACATGGGTTCGTGCTCCAGTCCGGGAAGATCCCACATGCCGCGGAGCGGTTGGGCCCGTGAGCCACGGCCGCTGAGCCTGTGCGTCCGGAGCCTGTGCTCCGCAACGGGAGAGGCCACAACAGTGAGAGGCCCACGTACCGCAAAAAAAAATTTTTTTTAATGTTTGCCTAAATAAAATTGCAAGGATGGAAGATAAAAAGAATAAAATCTCTCAGGAAAAAAAAAGGGGAGCGCAAAAACGACAAAGAAAAATGAGAGAAAAGGCAAGTACCACAGAGGACCAATGTCCAATGTTGGACTAACATAACAGTAGTTATTAAGCAGATGAGGAAAAAAATGAAGAGAAGAAACCTAACAAAAAATAATACAAGAAAATATCCCAGAGTTGAAAAAAAAAATCTCCAAACCAATAGGGCCTAGAGCAAGAGGCTCAAAAAAATGAACAAACAAAAAAATAAATATATACACATATATATATATTTATGTGCATCTACGAAGAAACAAGATATTAAACCAGACTGAATTCTCAACAGCAACAATATGTCATGGAGTACGGTGAAGCAAGAACTTTAAAGGTTTAGAGGAAACCTATTTGGATCTACAATTCTCTTAACTCACAAAACTACTGGAAACTATGAAAATAAAAGACATTTTCAAAGATGCAAAGATGACTTCCACACATTCTTTCCAAGTAAATTACTTGAGATTATATTCCTGCAAAATGATACAGTAAAGCAAAAAGGAGAAAGACATCAGATCCAGTAAGTGGTGGATCCAAACCATGAAAGCAATCTTGAGTCCTACAGCAGTCACTTTGCTGCAGGTCTAAAACAGTATCCCCCCAAAGTGGAACAGAAAGATGACATTAGGAGAGATGTCATCTGACAAAAAAAATATGAATGCTTTGGTATGTTCAGAAGCTAGGAAAACTTGAGACTACTTGAATGTTAAAAAGGAGAATTCTTGGGACTTCCCTGGTGGTCCACTGGTTAACACTCCGAATTCCCAATGCAGACGGCCGGAATTCTGGTCAGGGAACTAGATCCTACACGCCGCAACTACAATCCCGCATGCTGCAACTGAAGATCCCACATGCGGCAACAAAGATCCCACATGCCTCAATTAAGACCCAGAGCAGCTAAATAAATAAATATTTTTTTTTCTTTTTTTTTTTAAAAAGGAGAACTCTTGAAATCATCACCTTTACTGAGACTATCAGGAGATCTCATTGGGTCCTTTTTCTCCATTTACATGAATCACTTCAAGAAGTCCCACACATTCCTGTCCCTGAAGGAATATGTAGGCTGTGCAGAAGGTGATACAATCGCCTCCATTCCTATCCTTTTGAACTCTATATTCCCCTTCACCCCACTATCTTTTTCCAAGCATTTGTCACCATCTGACACACTACGTTTATGTATCCATTAGTTTATCTCCCTCTAGTAGAATCTAAGCTCTGAGAGAACAGGGATTTTTACATTTTTAACTTCTGAATATCCAATGCCTTGAATGATATTTGGTGTGTACATAAGATATACAACATACATTTGTTGAATGAAAGAATAAACTTAACTCCAGGAGCATTTCCCATTGAGTGGCCAGAGGTAGTAATAAAATCCACAGAGGGTTTCCCTGGTGGTGCAGTGGTTGAGAGTCCACCTGCCGATGCAGGGGACACGGGTTTGTGCCCCGGTCCAGGAAGATCCCACATGCCGCGGAGCGGCTAGGCCCGTGAGCCATGGCCGCTGAGCCTGCACGTCCGGAGCCTGTGCTCCGCAATGGGAGAGGCCACAACAGTGAGAGGCCCGCATACCGCAAAAAAAAAAAAAAATCCACAGAGGATATTTAACTCTAGCACTCTACATAGCTCTATGATGAAAAACACTGTCATTACTCATAGAACTGTAAAAACTATTCATTGGTTTTCAACTCTTAGAATTAACCTAGATATAAATCAAGTGAGGCTTAATAACTGTCCCAGAACAAACTGTAAGTTTGTTGGGACAGTCTTGGCAATATAAAAATGTAGAAGGAGTGAAGTGGAGAGAGTGGATATTAAGGTCCTAATCTTAAAAGTGAGGAGTCAAAAGATACTGTCTATAGTTAATGAAACAAAAATGGAGATTCAAGTATAATGATTCAAATTTCCTGTGACCAAAGAAGAACTGAGGTTAGTGTTACAACTGTATAAGGCTGAGGAAGAAATCAAAAGACAAGAAATAGAATGTCATTTATATAGTATATGGAAATAGCTATCAAAATAACCAAAAGCAGAAATGTTTAAATTGATTGCTAAATGACAATAAGATTGGAGGTGAGGCAAAGTGGGTTGGGGAATATTACTTTTATTAAACCTAGTCTACTAGCTATTTGAACCAAGTCTATGTATTACTTTGATAGGAAAAATTAAGTACAGAAAAAAGATCATCAGAAGCTAAGATTCAACACTGAAGTAAAAATGGCCCAAAAGCTGGTTGAGGTACAAAATCCTTAATCGGAACACAAACCCTAGGAATTCCCTGGCGGTCCAGTGGCTAGGACTCCGCACTTTCACCGCGGAGGGCCTGGGTTCAAACCTGGTCGGGAACTATAATAAAATCTCACAAGCAGCACGGTGTGGCCAAAAAAAACCAACCAAACAACCCAAAAAATTCTATTAACCCCAATGGCAAGATTATTAACAACCACCAACCCTCAAAGATATAATACCATTACCACAAAATTATATTTCTTAATCGCCAATCTTAATGGGGACATGCTAGAGGCATTCCCAATAAAGAAGTGGGGTAAAAATTAATATACAGAAATTAACTGTTCTCACATATAGAAATAACCACCTGAGAATAAATATAAGAATGAAGAATGGAATAATGGGGGGAAAAAAAGGACAGGGGCATCTTTTATGTAATATAATATTTACACACTATATATAACTTGATAATAAATGTGGCAACTGGTATCAATGGAGAAATTATAGACTTATTGAATAAATGAGGTTGGGACAACTCATTTTCCACCTGGGAAAAAAGTTGGATCCATACTACAAATCTCACATGAGGATAAAATTCAAATGGATCAAAATTAAAAAGTAAAAAATGAAACATAAAAAATAAACAAAGGTTGTATATGCATAACTGATTCACTTTGCTGTACACCTGAAACTAACACAACATTGTAAATCAACTATATTCCAATAAAAATTAAATTTAAAAAAAATCAGTATACTAAATGGAAAAAAAATAAAATAAAAATAAAGGTGAACTTCCTTAAAACTCTGGATTTGGGAAGGCTTTTCTAACTATGATTCAAAATCTAAAAGCCTTAGTAGGCTGAAAATTTGATGACATAAAAAAAATTTGCTTCTGGTAAAGACAACCAAAGGCAAAGTTAAAAGACAAACTCTGGGGCTTCCCTGGTGGCGCAGTGGTTGAGAGTCCGCCTGCCGATGCAGGGGACAC